GAGCACAAATATTGTAACAAATTCTATCATTTTTGGGATGTATACTTCTGGGATGTTGATGGAGCACAAATATTTGAACAGTGGCTCTTTTTTTGGGATTGTAACAAATTCTGTCATTTCTGGGATATGTTGATTAGCTGTCATTTTTGGGATGTTGTTGTCTCTAGATTCTAGCAAAATCTGTCTATACAACAAATTCACTCATACAGTTAAGTTAACTCAAACAATTTTTCATTCATACAATAACTCATTCATACATTAACTCATTCAATAATTGTGACAATTCAGACATCAACATACATTTAGTAACTCATACATTCAGTTAACTGATACATTCAGTTAACTCATACATTCAGTTAACTGATACATTCAGTTAACTCGTACATTCAGTTAACATTCAGACATTGCCAATTCAGACATTCATAGTAGGTAGTTGTAGCTTCATGGGCTGAGCACCTTTACTAAACATTGCCACCAGCGGTGCCAAAGAAACAGCAAGAAAGATCTGTGAACCACAACACACTGCCATTGCCTTCAGCTTCTTCTGTGGCTTGGCAAGTGCCTTGGCCTCAAGCTCCTTCATAAGTGCCATGGCCTCCTCCTTTTCCTTCACCAGTTTGGCCTCAAGCTCCTTCACAAGTGCCATGGCCTCCTCCTTTTCCTTCACCAGTTTGGCCATCTCCAAATGTGCTTCATCTAGCAGAAAATTGAGTTCGTTCTTCTCCAGCTCTAGAGTTTCATTCTTGCTACGCAAGACCCTAACTGCATCTCGCAAATCAACAAGAATTTCGACCTGATGCTCTGTTGGCTTGGGATCAAACCACTCCCAGAAAGGGCATCCACCAGCCTAGCACCCACAGACATTCAGATTGTGAGGTAGACTATTACCTAGATTGAAATCAACACATCACAATGCAAATTGAACTCACCTTGTATTTGGGGCATGCATTGTACCTCCTTCTAGGATTTGCATTGCTCCATGAGATCCACCTGGGAGTCTTCTGACCACAGTAGCAGCACTCGAGCCGTGTGTAAGTAGAGTAGGGGGTGCGGCGGTATGGAATTGGAGAGGAGTACGGGGACCATACTGGATCGCTCCATGGAGCTCCGTGACGAGCTTGAGCCAGCAGAGGTTGCCATTGAGGTGTAACCCTAGTCGGCTGGTAGCGGCGGCGGCGGCAGGTTGGTAGTCTGTGGTCCCGTGGCGGCGTCAAGGAACTTCTACTGTGGCGATTTGGGGAATTCGGGGATTTGGGGACGGATTGGGGGTATCGAATCGCTGGGGTAAGAGGTCGATGGGTTGGTCCACTGGAGTGAGCCTTCCATATGGTCGGACTCGGTTCACCATGGGATGAGGTCGACCGGTGGGTCCATTATGGTCAAACAAAGGGTCAAATCAATGATTCAAGCTCATTTTGAATCGAATTTGAACTGGATTTTCAATGTACTGTTCAAGACCTTCATCAATGTACACTAATTGTCCAACTCGCACTCTAATGGTCATTGTATGGTCCATGTTAAGTGTATAAGTACACCAAGCATGTATAGCTATATGATCTCACACATCATATACCTATGTGTATTGATATAACCAAGCATGTGTATGATCTTTTCAACTCAAGTGCATAATTATATGTGTTGATATAAGCAAGCATGTAGACCTTACCTTATCAAGTGCTTAGTTATATGTGAAGAGCATATTATAGCATATATGTGTGTATGTATGTTATATAGTAACAAAGCACACCTTGCATTTATATGATCTTATGAAGTGCTAATCAAGTCATTCTCATATGCTCACATAGTATGTCATCTTATGAAGTGCTAATCAACCTACTAAATGTTTAAATTCATTGAAGCACACACATTATAGTTAAGTAGAATGTATGTTACATGTGTATATATATACAAAAAAGGGATCATGTATATCTCCCTATAATTTGAGACCTAAAATATTATCATACTGAAAATTTTATGCATACATCAGATATTATAAATACTAAAAAAACAAAACATTGGAATCATGTCCTTCATCTTACTAAATAGGTTACAAATACTAAAAACAACATTGTAAAGCATAATAATAACATGGTAATATCATTATATACAAACTTACTTTTTATCCCAATCATGTAGAAATTGTTGTCACATTTTTTTGAAGCAAATATCAATTTACAATTCAATAAAATAAACATACATAAAAGAAAAAACCATTTAATTTTATTCTAAAAAAAAGAAATATGCTTTCCAGCTCTCGCCTAGGGGTTCTGGCGTTTGCGCGCTTCTCCCTGCCCAATTTTGGTGCCTCCGAAAACCCCCTACTGCCCTCCTCCGGCATCCGCTCCATTGAAAGTACACAGGGACAACATAGTAATTTCACCGAGGACTATATATTGGTCAATCCCCTCCCGCATCTCTTCTGGCCTCATTTCGTTTCACTCCGCCGCACCCACTCCGCATCCACTCCGCCGTCGCCGCCCTAGATTCACTCCGCCGTCCTCTCATACAACCACTTCGCCGCCCAGATCCACTCCGCCACCCAGATCCACTCCGCCGCAACACAGACAGAGACGGAGGAGCCATGACCTGCGATGTCCACCCCACCAGAGATGGAGAAGTAGGACGTCGGCCACTTCATCGAGCCGCACCTCGACATCGGCCACTTTATCGAGCCGCACCTCGACGTCGGCCACTTCATCGAGCCACGCAACGACGATGCCTAAACAGGCCATAAAAGTGCTCTGCCCCCCGAGCCCAGGTTCCTCTCCGCTGTGCTCCTCATTTTAGGGTTTTGTTCTTGGTATTTGGTTCCCTTGTGTAGCGCCGTCTTCTAGTTGTAGGGCAATTCCACTAGATAGGGTTTAGGGTTTAGGGTTTAGCAATTAATTCCACTAAAATTTGTTTACAAATAGGGTACTATGAACGGCTTCGGGACTTGCAAGTCGCGGAGAACCTCAAGAAGATGGAATCCTTGGGTCTTCGTACCTTGGCTTCGGGACTTGTTAGTTCTCAAAATCCGAACAAGCAAAAACACAACAATGTAACTGATGAGCGGTCAGATTCATCCGAATATCTTCCTGGAGCTGAAGAGGGCCAGGAAGAAGATGATGATTTTGATAATACTAGCGTAGAAAAGGTCTCTTCTCAATCTTGGTTGGGGGTTCTGGCATCACGCTGTCCGATATATATTATAATAACATATTTTCCATTATGTGTTAGGAAATTGACAACAAGAACAAGCAGACCAAGCAGGGTCGACCAAAGAAGAACACCAAGATGCCTCCAGGTGGAATGAAAAGGGTTAGGGCAACTAGACAGGGCGATTCAGTTCCTGGAGTTGCCACAAGGTCTGGGAAAAAGTACAGCACCACCTTCCTAGAGTCTGAGAACACTGACACAGACCCTATGAAGCAAGTTGAAGAACAAGATCCTGTTCAGGACTGGTCTGTTTTTGATGAGCAAACGAATGCAGATGAACATGCTGTCTCTGAGCAAACCAATGCAGATGTCTCTGAACAGTTAGAGACTGTTCCTGAAGGCAAGTAACAGATCATGCATTCTCACGTTCTTTGATTTAACGGTGGACTAGTCTAACACTCTCAGCGGATACTTTGTAGGTCGACAACGTGCTCCAAGGCGACCAAGACCACCAACAAAGGGCAAATTGCTAGACAACATGACAAAGGCGATGGGAAGAAGGTTGCCAATTGAAATTGCTCCAGGGAAGAAAAGGCCTGAGAAGCCATTACAAGCTGCTAAGCTAGCTTCAGAGGCTGGACTTGTCATTAGGTCCAGCATGCCTGTCCTAACTCACTGGAAAGAATACAAGAAGGATGAAGACAACTATATGAAAGAATTCGTTGGCCACTTATCTGTAAGTAAATACCTTCAATATCTATTTGGTACTTTCCATAAGTCATTATATCAAATGCTAATAGCTAAATCTCATGACTTATTGACTTCCACAGAATAGGTTGGCAGTTGATGAAAATGATGACCCAACAAAGCAAGCTGCACTAATCTACTCCAATGGGTGCGACGGACTAGATATTTATTGAAGAAGAAGTACTTCATCGGTGTCCCAAATGATCAAATCGAACAACTTCCCTATTCCAACTATAACCGATGAATGATGGGTTGGCCCTTGTGGCAAAGTGGTCTAGTCCAAAAGGGAGGGTATGATGTGCCATAAGACAACAACTTCTCTTTTTGTCTACTTTATCTCATAAACTTACTTGTTTTCAATTCAGAAGTAGTGAGAAACAACAAGACCAACCGTACTAAGGTCAAACACCATCACTCGACGGGATCTCGCAGCTACATCTCGCACTTGTACACATATGTAAGTGCTAAAAATCTAGTACAATACGTTTTCTATTTGTGTGTAGATACAGAAGCTAATTTTTCTGCATTTCTTTCTCAAACTACATACATATGGACAAAAACAAGGATCATGATGTCAATGCCGTGGAGATGTTCAAGGAATGCCATACCAGTAAGAAGAATGGTATGACAGATCAAGTCAAAGAGACACTTGTAAGTCCCTACACCTCATTGATGGATGGGTTGTGTACATATGTCAGTTTATATTCAGAATTGGTTGCTGGGTGCGATTATCATATGCCACAATTTGTATGATGTGTCTGGATGGTCCTATCTTTACTTGTGAAATTGCTTGAAGGGACTAAAATTGATTGCTGGCTGGGATTAAAATACATAGAAAAAATGGTCATACATGCTTACACCTATATATCCAGTTATATGCTTGCTGAAATGGAAAGTGCTTGCATACACATATATGTAGCTATATATGCAGTTTATATTCTCATATGTAACATGGTTGTGTACACATACATTCTTGTAACATGGATTATCTGATGTTCTCTAATGATTGTCTTATCTTGTAACATGGATTATCTGATGTTTTCCATTTCTTTTCTTGAAACATGGTTTCTATATAAGTAACTTATCAAATTTGCATCTCTCTGATGTAGAGTGCCATGGAAAATATGTTGGCCCAACCTGCTGAAGGTTTAGAGACACCAAGATCCAGTACTGAAATTGTTTCCAAGGTCCTCTCACAAACCAGTGCTGCTTCTACATTCCTGAAGAATGCTGGTCTTGAAACACCAGGGTCAAAATCTGCTGGATCAGTTGCAAGAGAAGCACAACTTCAGGAACAGCTACAGGCAGAGAAGCCGCGGGCTAATCTACTTCAACAAGAACTGGACACCTTGAAGAAGAAAGGTGAAGAAATAGAAGATGCATTGGCCAAGACCCAAGAAGTAGTGCTCAGGACCCAGCAGGAGATGGAGGAGTTCAAGAAGAAACAAGAAGCCAATGATCTACTACTTCAGCGCATCTTGAACATCAACGCAGGTAACAGAGCTACTTAGCTTGTTCCTGCGCTTGCTAGGTACCTCTATAGTTGCCTGTAGTTCCCTGGTGCTGAGCAGGTTGGTTATGTCACTTGTGAACGAATTTGTGTGTGAAGTGGTGGTTCCAATGATGTGTGTGAACTTGTGGTTCCCCTGTGTTTGGGAACTTTGGTTGTATGAACAATAAGTCTGACTATGATGTATGAACCTGTATTCTATGTTTGCTGAGGCTGGCCATGTATGGTACCTATGCATTATTTCAAATTCGTCAAATGCCTATGCAAATTTCTATGACGAAAAAAACGTCATTATGTCACGTGCTGCCATGTCAGCGCCCACGTGCTGCCACGTCAGCGCCCACGTGCTGCCACGTCAACGCCCACAGAATGCCTACTAGCCCAACACGTGTCAACCTACGAGCCCAACACGTGTCAACCTACGAGCCCAACACGTTTCAATCAAAGAGCCCAACACGTGTCAATCTACCAGCCGTACATGTGTCAACCTTGTGACCATACATGTGTACGCTGCAAGCCGGCTGAAATAGTTCAGTGACGGGGGGAAAATCGTCATGGATGTAACGATATCTATGACAAAATACACAAAATCGTCAAGGTGCAACAGCTATGACGCTACAAAGATGACGAAGACGATTTCGTCATAGCATCGTCACAAATATATGTCCATGACATTTTTGGCCTTTACTATGACAAAAGTGGATTGTCTTGGATGTGGACTTTTTTAGTAGTGAATGGGGGTAGAGGCAAAAACATGCATTCCATCTAGATCCACCCAAAATGTTTTACTCCTACACTAGGAGAAAACGCTAAAAACATGCTTGATAGGTTTTCCACCAAATAAATGCTCCAAGTTCTTGTTGCTATTTCTCAAAAGTTTTGTTGCAGAAAAGAGGCATGGGTTATGCAAAAGTTATTCATAAAAAAAGGAAAAGAAGAGAGAAAAAGTATTGAAAAAATGAACAAGTGTCCGAATTATTAAAACAATGGGTACTCAGATGCCCGCCTGAAAAAAAATAAGATGAATAAGATAGCCCATGTTTTCTTGCAATTGTTTCCAAAGTTCTAAATGAGAGATATGTTTTCAAGGAGCATAGTAGAATTAGGCGAGCCACCATATATATCCACCATATTCCACACACATGCACATCTTGATTTGATTGTATGACTCAACTCTCTTTGGATTCATTGTTTGACTTTACAATATATGTATTGTAAGTATGCTCTCTCATACAATTACCACTCCTATGAGCTCCATATAAGCTTTAGTTGTAGGAGAAGAAAAGGCATAACATCATTATTGCCTTGGTAAGGATCCACAAATACCACATACATGAGAGACTTGAGAGTGTCATATAATGGAATATCTGAGTTTTATTTTGAAAACTTGTAAAAACTCTGGAACAATGGTTGAACAACGAACTTGAGACATAGTGCTTGACTTGATCATTCTGTCTTTCAATTGCTCAAGACCTAAGTAAAAGATACAAGCTCCATGGTTCAAGGTAATATGAGTAAGTTTGAAAGTCAGATCAGTTGTTCTAATCCGGAAGAGAATTCTTGTTTGAACGCATGTGTACTTTTGAGGAGTTGCTTCAATGTTTTCAAAAATCCTAAAAACTCCTGATCCATTACTAAGTTTAGCTTTACTCAAGGACGAGCAAAGGTTAAGCTTGGGGGAGTTTGTTGACGGTAGTTATCATCCATCATAAACCATCAACATAACTTGAATAAATGCATAAAAAATATCACGAACATAGACTTAGGGGTTAAAACTAACAATTTCCACGAGTTTTGGTGAATCAGTGTTTTCAGCAAGGTTATTCCAGAAAATCGGCAGGGGGATCAAAACATCAAATAATATTGCGCTTATCCGCGGTGAAAACTACTCCAGAAGGTTCCAGAGGCCACCAGAAGGCACCCCCCGAGGCAGACCCTGAGGGGATGATAGGTGGGTCGGTCGGCCCCACCTCCATGCTAGTCGGCCCCCTGGTCCCACATGTCAGCCCCCGCTTCGACGTCGGTTTCTCCACCGCCTCCTAGATTGCATCAACGCCGTTTATTCAAGTCGGTTTGATCCGAGGGCTCAATATTGATGCTCTGGCCTATATAACCAGCCCCTGCCCCCCTCCTCCAGAGCATGCTGCCATAAGTCAAGAGTAGATCAGAAATTAGGGTTTCTAGAGAGAAGAGAATGGAGCTCCAATTCTTCAAATTTCTAGTATAAGCTAGCTAGCAAGGTTCAAGTAGAGTGTGGGCTATTGCTTAGGATTCCGGATGCACCATCTGGAGACAGGTATAGCCATTGTATCTCTTTATTTATGACTTTGTGCTACTTCAATATTATGTTGCTATTTATTATGTTCCTAGTTTGCTCTAGTTATATGCTTGATATAGTTATGATTGATGATGAGTTTATGCATATGTTCGCAAAACGCTTAGCCCAAGATGCGCGTGGGTTAGGTGGTTGACATTGTGTAAGCATGGTGCTTAGATATTGTTTACCTGTGGGTGCATTCTGTACTCTGGGTCATGTGGTAGATCGTGAATGTGACACTCCCGTTGAGTCCTTTGTAGTTCACTCCCCATTTGTAGAGCAAGTAGAACATGGTTGCGAAGGAAGACAAGCTCTGTTCTTGATCTTCCTTAGTAATGTTCCTTATGCATAGATCCAAAGTTAATTATGCTATAGATGAGAATGTATATACTTGGGTGTACAAAAGACTTAGTAATTAAGGAATGACTTAGGAATCTTTTGCTCTTACCGAATCTCCTGCCTAGCCATACTACATTGCATGAGTCTCTATTTCTATCTCTAGAATTACTATCAATGCTTCACACTTATCATTTATTTATCATTTGACTTACCCCTGCCATAGCATGAGAGTGTTTTTATCATAAGTATACATATTTGTCAATATCTCTATGCCAACAAACCCATAGCTCCTCCCTGTGGATAAAATATAAATAACGATACTCGGTATACTCCCGGTTGAAATGCTACAATGGTGTATTATCTGTGCGCTTGCGGATACTTTAACATATATAATTTTCTTAGAGTTTACAAGTGTCATTTATAATTACCAACAACGCATTTCTGGCATCATACTAGGGATGACAACTTAGTAAAGAGTGATGCTAAGAAATGTCAACAGACACCTTACAACTACGGTGAACATTTCTATTTATAGCACCTAGGAGCTGGGAGGGTATTTGTAGGCAGTCAGAGAGTTGGTGGAGCAAACTTGGGCACCGAGCGATGTTCCTATGCGTCGGCTGACTGTGGGATGCACCGCCTCTTGATCTTAGGGCCTTGGTTAGCTCCCAAAGGTGGTTACTTAGACAGCATGTGTGAAGAATTGGTCGGGAAGGCCGTGGTTAAGTCAATGGAGCTCCTCCAAGTCAATGAATATTGGCCCATGGATCCAAAGTCAATGAAGCTTTGTGGAAGCTCTCCCACACATCAGAAATATCATATGGAGGTTTGTTCTCCTTGTCCCTTTTGCTCAGAAATATCATATGGAGGTTTTACAATTTTTTGACAAGGAAAATCACAAGCTCTTGTTCTTTCTGTGGCACACTTGGTCTCTCATAAGTGTTTTAAATGCTCCTCACCAAAGGCTAAAGTTTTGCCTTCATTCCTATCACTAAGGCTTCTGTGGAGTTCATGGGCAAGGAAAATATGAAATCTTACATTGCATAGTATATATTGCTAAGTCAACCACTTGGATAAAAGGAGCAACAAGTCATAAACTTAGACCAAGAGAGTGCATGTGTGTGGTATTTGTGGAAATTACTCCTTTCATGGCTCCTCTTTTTCTCATTGTTGGAGACATGGCTACCTCCTTTTCTCTTTTTTCGACATAGAGAGCATAAATTCTTTCTTGCTCTTTTTTTAGAGATAGCCATGCTCCTTTTTGAGAGATTTTATATGGAGAGAAGAACTTTTGCCATGGAGTAAATATTTGGAGTGGAAAACATGTGGTTGCATACTCTCAGTGTAACAGTAGCAAATATATATATAGGTGGGTGCATGTGCTCTCGGTCATGGGAGTATGACAAGTTTCTCAACTAAAATCAACAAGGCTTGACAAAGCTCACTACTAATGCAAGCAGCATATGTGGAAGTTTTCAAAGTGCTAAACATGTATGCCTCTGGTGGATTGTTGATGGTAGTTATCATCCATCATAAACCGTCAATAGAACCTGTATAAATGCAAGAATATGACCACCAACATAGGTTTAGGGGTTTAAACTGACAAATTCTATGAGTTTTGGTGAATCTGTGTTTTCAGCAGGGCTTATTCAGAAATCCATCAAGGTGGACCCAATCGTCAGAGTTAATCATAGTTATCCACGACGAAAACAACTCCAGAAGATTCCAAAAGTCACTAGAGGGCAACCCACCAAAGAAGACCGCGAGAGGATGCCACCACCTGCAGGCCGACTGGCCCAGGGGGCCCACCTGTCAGCCCCTGCTTCGTACATCGGTTCTCCACCACCTTAAGGATTGCATCTATGCCATTTTTCTAAGTCGGTTTGATCCAAGGGTCCAAAATTGATGCTACCCCCTATATATATCAGCCCCTGCCCCCTCCCCTAAGGCATAAGTTAAGAAAGATCAGAAATTAGGGTTTCCAGAGAGAGAATAGAATGGATCTCCAATTCCTCAAAGTTCTAGTATAGGCTAGCTAGCAAGATTCAAGTAGAGTTGAGCTATCGCTCAGGATTCTAGATTCGTCATCTGGAGGCTGGTATAGCCATTGTATCCTCCATATTTCATGACTTTGTGCTATTTCAATACTATGTTTCTGTTTATTATGTTCCTAGTTTGCTCTAGTAGTATGCTTGATATAGTCATATTTGATACTAAATTTATGCATAAGTTCGCAAAAGCTTAGCTCAGTATTCGAGTGAGTTAAGTGGTCAACATTACGTAAGCGTGGTGCTTAAATACTATTTACCTACGGATGCACTCTACATTCCAGGTCATGTGGTAGATCACGAGTGTGACACTCTCGTTGAGTCCTTTGTAGTCCACTCCCCATTTGTAGGACAAGTAGGACCTGGTTGCAAAGGAAATCAAGCTCTGTTCTTGATCTTCCTTAGTAATGTTCCTTATGCCTAGATACAGAGTTAGTTATGCTATAGATAAAAGTATATATACTAG